AAACATACCCAAGAATTTTATAAAATCACATGGTGAAACATTTCATGAGTTACATAGTCAAACCCTACTAGTGCATTCATCCATGAATCCATATCCCCCTCTCATTCACAAATGATTTAGACTGTCGACATCTGATTGTGGTGGAATTGATCAGATTTGAAATTATTCCTTGCTTCCTCCCTGTTTGAATGTGCAACACACATTCTTGCTACCTTTTTGGTGGTTGACATGGATTTTGACAAAATTCATACCCAGGGGACCCACAGAGATTACTTTTTTGGGTTCAATCAATGCTTGTGAAAAAATGCTAAAAAGAAGTGCTGGTGAAGTCACACTATCATTTCAATCTCTCTGTCCCTTTACTCCTTCTCTCTCATGCATATTCAAGTGCCTTTTACTCTGATATTATATATACCATCTCTCAGTCATCAGTTTTATGTAGAAAATATTTCCCTGGCATAGCAAACAAAAAATGAATCATCAATCCTTAAAATAATTCATCTGGAGGAGCCTAGATCTCCTCTGATTTGGGTAGCCCTAGATAATCTCTCCTTTGTGTTTGCCATTCCAAAACTTGTTTACACCAAGAACAATACATATTTCTCCCAAATCCAAGTGCCATTTCTCCTTGGGTATAAATAGGGGTTTTCCAACAATAAGAGATAGGATTTAACAGAATTGGTGAAGTTTAATCAATTACTGTTGTTTGGAATAGTCAGCAAGGCCTTGGTTATTTTGAATGAGCAGATTTGTTGACTTTAAACATAAACAATAAAGAAGAGCTTTATTCAAGTTGAGTTATGTGTAAGGGTATCAATACAAATGTTAAATGTGTTTAACTATTGTCTGAATATTCTGGGGATTAATCAGTGAAAGTGGTATGGATTATATGTTCCAGAATATGATAGGGGGGAAGATGGAGCACTCAGAACCAAGGGATCTTTAGACAGGGGAATGAGCACATCAATTGGTTGACTGATTATTATCTGGAGTGATAAGTAAGTGAAATCAAGATCTGTTACTAGCGGATCAATTTACTAGTTGGTCTTGATGTGTAAATACTAACTGATCATCTGATGATGAAGTCATTGTTGTGATCAGTACACATATTGAATGTCTTAACTCTATTAAAAAACAATGGATAACATTCAAGACATGTGCATATTTATTTTAAATGATGCTTGACTGTGAATATACTGTAGAACATGGACAACTTTTGGTACAGGTATTTCACAGATAAATGAGTGAAAGATAGAGGAAAATTACTTATGTATAAAAAAATATGTACTTAATTGATAATGCCATTAACATTACATACTGTAACAACCTTTATAACACCCTATAACAACCATCACACTTTTAATACACACTAAACTCACTCTCATACTCTGAGTCTCAAAAACTCTTTTTCTTAGCTAATCTATTGCAATCAAACAACTTATTTTCAAACCAAACACCCATATGACTTGATTAAAACTTTATAAGTTGAGCTTGGTGGGTCTTGGTTTTTGATAGTACAGAAGGGCAGAGCTTGCAACTCCACCATCCCCTTCAACATTCAGAAAAACGGTTCTCACAACCACTTTTGAGTCTTACACCATTTCTTTTCAATTATTATTTCAGTATATTTCATGGTGATAATCCTTGTGTCAAAGAAGTTGATGGTGTTGTGTTCTGTATTTCAATTTTGTTGGATTCTGATCTCATTCATCAGGTATCTTTTATTTTCATATTGTTTCTCATCAGGTTTTTGATCATATTTACTCATCATTACTTTTTGTTAAGATGATTACTTCTATTGAGTTTTAGAATATCATTTCTATAAGGGCCTTAATAAAAAAACGTGGTTTTGCTGCAGCACAGCACACACGTTCTCCGCGCAACGGTGAAACGATGCGATGTGATGCGATAAATAGCCATGTATCGGTATTGCATCAAAAAAGTGATGCATTGCATCAGCATTGTATTGGAAAGCGATGCAAACCGATGCCACCAAATTATGGTGCATCGCATCGCATCGCTTTGCCGATGCGATACTGATACACTGTATCGAAGAATCCGATGCAAGTGATGCAATGCGGGGCCCCGCATCGCTCTTGCGATGCGATGCGATAAAGGCCCGATACGATGCGATACCTATGCATGCATCACATCAGTTTCATCGTTGCGAGTCCACGTTGAGACGCAGTTTTTTGATTAATTTCTTTTTACCATTAATTTTAATTTTTTTGAGTTTTTAAAATTGTTTCCTAGGTTAAAAAATGCCTATAATTTGATGGTGTAATCCAAATTTTTTAAAACTAAACGGTTCACTTTTTAATACTGAAATTAGACACATTTTTTCACTTAAATTTCTACATGTTAATTTTCATTCTTTTTTGACATTTTAAATTTATTTCCCACACTTCAAGACACATGATTAAAATGATGGTAACAGCCATTTCACATAAAAATCAGCTCTTGACACTGAATACTGTGTTGGACAGGTTTTTTTTTTATGTTTTTTTGATTGATTTTTACCGGCTTAATTTTGATCATTTTTTGAAATTTTAAATTTATTTCATACATATATAAATGTGTGGAAGTTAATGGTGAAGTCCAATTTCTCTCAAACTCAAAGCTTCAATTATAATACATGAGTGTACCCCGTTTCTTGCATAATTTGTACTGTATACACATTTTGTTTGAATGCAAAATGGATACAGCCATCAACTTGAAAACCTTTCAAAGTGTAGGAAATGAACTTGAAATTCCAAAAAAATAAGGATAATTAGGCCTGTAAGGATTAATTAAAAAAACACATCAAAGGCATTATTCAAGATACAGTTTTTATTTTGATGCAAAGTTATTGATACCATCATTTTAAACATGTCTGAAAGTGTAGGAAAAAAAATTAAAATGTCAAAAAATAATGAAAATTAAGCTACAGGAAAAATATGACTAATTACAGTATTCAGAATGAACCGTTGAGTTTTATGGAAATTGAATTTTGGCATTAAATTCTACACACTTTTAAATGTAGGAAACAAATTTAAAATTTCAAAAAAGCATAACAAATAAGGTACACACATGTATGCAAACATTTGAGTGAAAAAGTGAAGAATTGATTAAAAAAATGTGTCAAATGCAGCATTCAAGGTATAGTTTTCATTTTGGGAAAAAATTATTGCTACCATAATTTTCTACATGTCTCAAAGTATAGGAAAAAATTTTAAAGTGTCAAAAAATAATGAAAATTAGGCTCTAAAAATTCAAGTGAAAAGAAGGGTGTAATTGCTTTATTAAAAGGGGATTAATAAACGTACCCCCCTTTTCTGCTATCCACACCCGGTTTTTCACACCTGGTTTTCTGCTTCTACACCCGGTTTTTCCCAGCCTTTTTAATTCATTTTTTGGGGATTCCAAATATGCTAAAAATCATCTAAAATCCAGCATTCTTTTTGGGCATGTTAAAAATTTACAAAAGAGCATTTCAATTTTTTTTTGTTTTTCTCACCCATTTTTTCCCAGTTGATTTCTCCCTCTGAATTTTTGAAAACTTGAATTATAGCTAAAAATTATTATTAAATGTCAATTTTTCAGTTTTTCTTCTCCATATAGATGGTACCATTCAAGATATTCCTTATTTTGTCCATTTGCATATTACTCAAAACCAACAACATTGGGATTTCCAAAATGAAATCAAATTTTGTTCTTTATAGATTTCCCAAAGATGTGGCAATATCAATGATAAATTTAAATGTACTTTGGAGTTTCAAAAATTCATAGGCGGCAGAAGGTTATATTTAATACCCCCTAATAAGTTAAAATTAAAATTTCTCTTTTGAGTATTTTTTACATACCCAAAAAGAATGTTTAATTTTAGAAGATTTTTAGCATATTTAGAATTGCCAAAAAGTGAATTTTAAAGGCTGGGAAAAACCAGGTGTGAAAAACCGGGTGTGGATAGCAGAAAAGGGGTGTACGTTTATTAATCCCCTATTAAAAATGAACCATTCATTTTTATGAAAATTGGAACTCATCATAAAATTTTACACACTTTAGAATGTAGAAAACAACTTTAAAATTTCAAAAAAAAAAACATAAAAAATAAGGTAAAAAACTTGATGCAAACAATTAATTGAAAAAATGAGTGGAAAAAAAATTAATAATCAAAAGTCATTTTTATGGAAAATGGATTTTACCATTGAATTCTACACATTTTATAGCCTAGGAAACAATTGTAAAAATTCAAAAAAACTTAAAAAATAAGTGTTAAAAAATTTAAAAGAAGACCGCGTGCGCTGTGCCGCAGCAAAACCGCGTCAAAACGCGGAAAAACTGCGTTTTTTATTAAGGCCTCTAATCAAAAGCCATTTTATTGGAAAATGGACTTCGCCATTATATTCTAATCATTTTTTAACCTAGGAAAAAATCTTAAAAACTTAAAAAAAAAACTGAAATTGATTAAAAAACCGCGTCTAAACGTGGAGACCGTGTGCGCTGTGCCGCAGCAAAACCGTGTCTGGACCCCAGGGGCAGTTCCTGCCAAGCCGCATTGTGGATCCCACAGATCACTGCCCCTCCTTGGAGCCAACAAGATTGGCTCTGTAAAGCTTTGGTAAGAGCCGATCTCGACGGCGGTTCCACAAACCGACTTTTTTTTTCGACGTTGGTTCCACAATCCCACATCCAAGCCGATGTGGAGCAGGTGGGCTTGTTGCTCACGTCAATTCCACAACGGTGGACATTTGCTTCAGTTTCATCCAGGATCCACTGATGTGGGTCCTGATCTTCCAAAAGCTTGAGAAAATTTGTTGTTAAAAAAATGACAAAAAAAAACTTCGACAAATTGTTTTTGTCATGGGTTAAGAAACAGGTGGGGGTGAGCCGGTTTGGTTGTGAAAAGAAGCTTGTCTCCCAACTTGTCCTTGGCTGAGCGGCAAAGTGTCAATGCTTGGTCCTGGAAGCTGGTCGCGTGTTCAATCCGCGCCAGGTAGTTTGTTAGCAGGCCGGCCGGCAGCACCAGAACTTACTGATTGGTGACTCCAGGCTCCACGTGGACTTCACCTTGCATCCATTGGGTGCCCATATGGATGCAGGGGTGGAGTCCACAGAAAACTGTGGACCGTCAGCTGCTGGTCTGAACTGCTGCAGTGGCCACTTGTGGGATCCACGGGCAAAAGTGGTGTCGGACCACGTTGAACTGCACCCCAGGTGTAAACGCGGAAAAACCGTGTTTTTTTATCAAGGCCCCTCTGTAAAGTATTTGATTCAACCATTTTTTAGTACTATAAATCCTGGATTCTAGCCTCATCTGTCACTGTATTTGCAACCGGTACTGTAGCTTAAAGTGTATCTCTGGTTATTTCCAAGAACTGCAGAGCTTCTTTCTTTGTAGTGGTGTGACAAGAAATTTGGCATTCCTATATTTCACTAAGGCACTCCCTTGATGTTATTGATTCTTTTTTTCTCTCATTTATAGTGTTTTCATGTTTTCATTGTTTTATTTACTTTTTCAGTGAATTTTCATGTGCTATTGTTTACTTGTAATTTATCATTTTGAATTATGTTATTTTACTTTGTAATTTATCTTGTTGTAGTCTTCACATTCTGACTTTCAATTTCACAGGTCAGCTTGTCCTTGATGGGAATTTCTGGATGTCAGCTGGCATCAGTTTGTTGCAATTTTTTTTCAATATAGCATTGCAGGTGTGGGATTTAAATGACATTAAAACCATCTAAAAAATAGGTAGGACTAGAGTAGGAGGAAAAACTCTGTCTTACCAGAAGGGCAGATGATTTGGGTGAAGAAGTTTGTTTCTGAAATGGGTGCAAATTTTGGCAGCACCAAAAAGGGACAATGGAGGACTTCCCGTCAACATCTGCGGGTCTCCCAGAGCCGGTTTAGAGCCTCGAAATTCAAATCTCCCTGCAAGAATTAAAAGTTTTCGGCTCTAGATCGACTTCTGCAAGGGTCCCAGATCCAACGGGAAGTCCTCCAATGGACAACTTGGTCTCCCAGAGCCGGTTTGGAGCCTCAAAATTCAGATTTCTCTGCGAGAATTAAGAGTTTTCTGGGTCTAGATTGACTTCTGCAAGGGTCCCAGATCCAAGGGGAAGTCCTCCAATGCACCCCACAGGATCCAAGTCATCTGGTGGACTTTGGATCCAAGTCCCCTCCCTACGGTCAATGCCAAGCTACAGGTGCTTGATGACCACTCCACACTGGGAAAATGAGACTTGCATAAAGTTCGGTAGATTGGGGCTCACAAAGCTACCGCACACTATTCAGGCTGTCCAGTTGACCAGTCGTTGTCAAGAGTGAGGAGATTGCTACAAAAGTAAGTTCTTAAAGACTGAATAAAATTTTTGAAAAAAAAAAAAAAAAAAAATCTTCTTGCACATGGTTGCCGTGGATGATTCACATCTCCAGCCGTTTGTTCCCTTCCCAGCACTGATCGTGCGCGTTGTCTATACCCTGGACATATAGCAGATTATCAAGGATTTTTGCACGCGGCCGAGCCTGGACAGATTTTGTGTATAAGTTGGTGTGTTCACCCTCGACCAGCAGAACTCATACAAGCTTCATTTAAATACACAATAGTGAGTTTTTGGAGATATTCGGATTCCGATGGACCTGGACTGCTGTCCGATTCGATGGTCGGATACGCAGTCTTGATCTCCATGGGTATTTTCGGATGAAAGTCGTCCTCTTTCTTCAAATCGGGAAGTAACTTACTGGGGTGGCGAAAGAGTTCTGAAATGTATTGCAGTTTAGCTACTTGTTGTATCGCATAGCGGCAAGTTATATTTATCTTTCCACTTCCTTCTTAAGCTTGTGAAATAATCCATGTGGGTCTGATTTGAATTTCCAGTCCTACTCGTGTCCGATCCTGGCCATCCGGAGTATATCGGAATGATAATCGAGTCAAATTGACGATAAGCTGGTCGACTTTTCCGCCGTTTGTGCCAGGTGCGGGAAAAAGCAGTATGTCTGCGCAGATGTAGAAAGTTACTTGGCTAAGGCGCATGGTGTCATCATCCGCTGAATCTTTTGGGAATAAGATATTTACATGGGAAGTTAGATAACAATAATGTTTAACTGTCGATTTTGGCACCGGAGCGGATGGGTCTAGTGGGTTGGTGGGCGTCGGTTGGATTTCCATTTCCCTAAGCAACCGTGAATATGCGCTTGCCAACGACATGTACGGCGGCGATTGAAAGCAAAGGATGATTGCGTCTTCTTGTTTGTTTATCCTAAGGCTACAAGCTGCAAAATGAAGATTTCACTCCCAGAACATATACTAGGGTCTTGCCAAATGTCTCCACGACTTTTGGGTTAGACGGGTATAAGACTTCTCCAAATTGCCGCTTTGCTTCATCGCCATCGCTAGCTTCATAGTATCAAAGAAAAAACCTCTGAATGAACAACTTAACCACCGTTACCTGAAGACCTACCAATAACCCTAGCGTTCATCAATTGATAGTCACTGTTCCTGTGAAGTGAAACTACTACAACTAGCTTTTCCACCTCCAAAAGACTTCCTGAACTTCCAATTAGAAAAAAAATGAAAAGAGATTTGGTTGGACTCTTCTCGGCAATCGTATCGTTGTTTATAGGATACGGATACTCGTTAACTGTTACCGAGCCTAGTAGTGATACCACCTGGCAGTGCGTCCGAGTGAACTTGTTCCTAGAACCGTTGCATATTAGTGTATTTCTAAGAGCTGATCAGATTTGTTAATTGATGTTTAGCCTTCACTCCCCGAACCAGGTGAAGTGGGAAAGCGTGTCTACCGATCCTGAAAGCGTTGAAGTCAGGATAGTCAACAACAACCCATCGTCAGTATCACTTCTTCTTTGATGTACCCAGGAAAGCTGTTATCTCATGAGATCCAAGCTCTCAGGACTTACCCGACTGGATACACTCACACCGTTAAAGATGGAATCAACACAGCGGATAACAAATTCACGGTAGACTCGCTACCTGGACTGAAACCAGGCCGCGGTTACCAAGTCAACGTCATGAGCTCCGTAAGTTTCAAGTTGCAATTCCTAAACTCTTTTCAGTAGTGCTTCTGGAATTGAAGATTTCCACTATCCTACCTGGTACTTAGGCCGGCACAATTTTGGCCCAAAGCGCCCAATTCGTGATCAATGGAACCGCTGAGAAAAACACTACTAGCACCACCACCCACCCAAATACGCAGAGCATTGCCCAACCCACCTTAGCGGCCCCGTCACCGGTAACTTCTGCATCTTCCTCTGGTGCCACTATTCTGGAATTAAGCTCGATAGCAAAATTGTTTCTAGTCATCGTATTGGCAATCAGCACACTTCCAGTCGAAAAACTCCGGTCTTGGTAATTACTCAAGTAGGATTCGAATATAGCGATTGCGAGGTTCTGATTTATCTGAGGTCATCAAGAAGAAAAAAAGTAGCTTGTCTGATTGTGGCAGGTTTGAGCCCTCCCAACCTATTCCTATTGGCATTGGTTTATTTCCTCCTTTTTTAATAGTCTACTTTCATCAACTGTCTTTGAATGAAGGCTTATCAGAACTAAACAGTTAGATTTCTCCAACAATTTATAAATGTATGAAATTTATGACCACCCCCTAATTTTGCATAATGCGCCTGGGATAAGTGCTCATTGAGGTCTGATTCATGGACAAGTGTTTCCCTTTTGGGCTTTTAAGGTGTTGAAAAATATGGGATTTTACAAGTGCGATGGATCTTACTCTAGTTGCACCCGAAGAGTGTGCGAGAGAGACTTAAAGAGTCACAATTGATGTAGAAAGTGCTATGAAGAATTTTGATCTTTGAAAGACTGAGGTTTGAAGAAAGTGTGGTTGGTTCTTGGAGTCGGAAGGATGAAGTGGGGGAGGTGAAGTCCCAAGAATCGAGGAAAGCCAGACGGCAATCTCAGTGGATATCTATGGAGAGTTTATACATCACAGGAACTTGGAAGGGCGCGCTCACGAAGAACGTCTCCCTCCCAGTCCCGTCAGGCCTCCAGGCACCACAACCTATCACAACCTTCAAAGTCGTGTTCAAGCCGAATTGTCTTTACATCTTGTGTTTCTCCATCGTTTGCCACGATCATCAAGTTGAGCTTCATGAGCCATGAGAAACTCACAGATCAAGGCCTTAATTTTGATGCTTGGCCCAAGCTTCCAACGCTTGACGGGCGAAGCCAATTCGCCTTAATTCCTTTCCTGCAGGCTGCAAGGGTCCCACTATGTAGTTTTCAAGTATTTAAGACTTTCTCAATCTATCGCCGGACGAAAAATTCATTCGTCCAAACTAACACTGACATTGATTGATCATCTTCGAACCTCATGGACATGTTTTGCGCCCTCTAGTCTAACTCTACCCTCGAATTTTAATACTTTTCATGTTCCCCACACTCACGCTGTTACCGCACCACTTCCTTATAACCGAGGAACCATAAGCAACACGCGGAGCCGTTTTACCCACCACAAACCCATCAGGCACTGCGAGCGCCCCCAAGGCTCTGTAGAAGTGTCGACTAAAAGAACACTCCTTGCAATTCAATGCAACTCAGAAAAGAGTGGAGGGCGCTCAGTGATGACCAACAGGCTGATTATATTAAGCGGGTTATAGTTGAACAACAGCTCCCCAGCCCCCCCGACAGGATGTGCAGGAATGGGACCCAGTGTTGAACTCATGACCACTCTGCACTTATTATCATTCCAGGGTGAGGTAGAATGATTTCCAGATGGAGCTCCTCTTCATGTCCATTTGCTATGATGCAGCATGGGGAAAGCCATTGTGTGTGATCACTGAGCCTGGGCCTTCCAGATCCCGATATATATCTAAGAGGATGTTGACGAAGACAATCGAACTACAAAACTTGTCCATTTTTTGTTGATATTTGAAAAAAAGTAAATGACAAAAACAAAACAATCAATCTATGGAACGAGAAAAGTCCAGACCGAACAAGTAAGGTCTAATAACTTTGTGGATGAAGATGAGCGACCACAGTGACAGATGTCCAGCTCTTCCCACGATCATCATCAAAGGTCCCCCCCCCCCCCTGCTTGAATACTAGAGAAGAGTGTTTCCTCCCGAGAGTTCAGCAACCGTGGATTCTCGAAGACCAAAATCAGTTGGATTAGGAAAAAAAGTGGGTATATTTTGGAAGTGGGATGCGAAGAATCGGAGCAGTTTGGTGCAAGTTTCGGGCGCGTCTTGGGCCGGATTTCTCAAGGATAATGGATAAAAGTGTGTTTGGTCGAGTGGCACATCTAGCACCCACACAACAACCCATTAACTCATTCATCTGCCAGCAAAGGATCGAGATGGGATCAGTTCGACATGAGGGTGTAAATAACAGAAAGCGGGCACTCACAGCGGTAACACAAGGGAGACTTGAGTGTATCCATGACCTCCCGGACTTTGATCTTGGGCACAAGACCCAAGTAGTCCAGCTCGTCATCCAAGTTGGCCTGGAAACCACCCTACGACAGTCTCCCCACACACAAGCGGTAAGAATCCAGGAAGACTCGGATGCTGGCTAGAGTAGAGGTGCAAAAAAAGGGACATACCGCTGGGAGATATTCGTACGTCCGATGGCCGGGGTCTTTCATTTGCCAGGACCACCAGACTTGCTACACCGTCCAAATAAATCCACATACATCATCCAGCTTAATCCGTCAGTTCGGGTGCCAGATTGTACTATCGATTTTATGTAACTCACGTCTATCCGGGCGTGATGGGGAAAGAACATCCTGGACACCAAAACTATCTCAGCTTCGGAATTTCAACCTCAACATACACCTTACAAACTCAGGAAAAAAAAACCTACGGCTAAAAATCCTCGAGTGTTGATTAGCATGTGACAAGATCACGGGGTGAGAGTACATACATAGACCACTTACATCATTGACGGAGTAAGCCAAATCGGGCATGTCCTACAAGTAATAGCAATCTCAGCTGATACGTGCAGAAATCGATGATGTGAATATGGACCCATACCCCGCCAAGTAAGGAATGTATGATGGAGTGTGGACCGGGCAAGATGGTGCCGTCCGGTTGCTTGTAATTTCCCTGATGAGTAAATCAAGATGAGCGTTTCTGAACAGGCTGGATAGCTAACAAAGAAGAAGAAAGAAAGAAACAGACCTCTAACTTCATTGTGAACGTGCTAAAATTGGCTTGAGAAGCTATGATTTCCATGTTGTTTGGATTACTACAGCAAGAGTTCGAAGTAGTTTGCAAGCCATATGAGGAGTGGAAAAACAAACGTTGCCGGGGAAATGGATGACTTACTACCATTGACTGCCAAGATAGTACCCACTATGTAGACAACAGCAGAGAAAGATCAAACTCTGTCAGCGTAGATGTAAAAACGAATCGGGGAAGATGGTGGTGGTGGAAGAGCAGCGCGACGACGTACGGGATTGCGAAGGGAGGGTCGAGATGGAAGTTGCGTTGGAGCATCATTCGGCCGGGGTAATAGATCGGAAACCTAGCAAACGCGCCGTCGGTCACGACGCCTGCATCTGTGAAAATGAGGAACCCCATAAGAAGCGTTCGAGGACACATCAGTGAAAAATGGACCATCAATCAACATCTGTGGGGAGTGAAAGGTTACCCAGATCATCGGGATCCGATCCTGGGCCAAAGAACCTGTCTCCAAGAAGTTCGAGCGCGTCAACCCTGATGAACAAAACCGGGCCAGGAATGACAGTCTACTCACGATCCGTTGGACCCGAAGCCGACCTGAAGTGGATGACCAAGCGCCCCCCGAGAACGGGATCAATTTCAACGATTCTTGAGTGCAGTCTCCAATCGTACTTTCAACTATGTAGTGTTGACGCAAGACTTACGACTGGATCAGAGGACCAAACGGGCGAGTGAGTGATGTTCTTGTGATCTAACGTCCAATTCCAGTATCTGATTCATTTTTTTGCAAAGAGGGTGGATGAGACCGATAGTCCTATCTGCAAATGCCACACATTGCTCTGGAAGACGTACGGGACCGTGCCACGAAAGCCGCATTCCTCTCGCAGGATTTTTTCGTGGACAAAGGTGAAATAGCGGTGCCCTGTTATTTTTTGTCAGAAACCAGCGCCCCCCCCCGCCCAAAAAAAAGCGATATCCAGATGATATTAGAGAGAGAGAGGGAGAGATGAAGATGGAGCAGGAGAAGGAGGGGCTGACAGGGTAAGAAGAGCGGCCTAGTGTGAAGCCGCTTCCTGAGATCACAATGGACGTACTCGAAATCGTCCCATCGCCGATACGAAGGTCCGAGCAGTTTAGAGGGGAGTCGGACGAGACACTTGATCGACTTGATGTAGTCAGCCTGCTGCTCATAACTCAACGTCCTCCACTCCTTCCTGACTCGGACTGATTTGCATGTGGAGGAACTTGATGCTGGCTTTGGTGGTGGTGGTGCCAGTTTTGGCGAAGATGCTGGTGGCGAGGTGAGGTTGTTCTGCGGTGCTCGTGGCGGGACGACGGATGGCCGGACGGTCGGTTCACCGGGGTTGGGAAGAGCCCAAAGGGTGCTGATTGAAAAGGCTATAAGGATACTGAGATCCAGGATGCAGACCATGACGAAAGTTGAAAAGAGATAAGATCGATGATTCCAGCGTGACAAAGGATACCCACTTGGATGGTTGAGTGATCTAAAAGAGTGTAGTATGTTTCTCAGGGGGAGCATAAGGAGGAAGGGAAGAAGACTGGGGATGAGAGCGCTTCTTGGCGTTGACAAGGATTGAATGGGCTGTCTACTCCCACACGGTCCGATGATCTGACTGACATGTTTTGTATGACTTTCCTCAAGAGTTCAAGCGAAAGAATCAAGACTCGCAGGCGCAACAAGCTGATCGAAGCGTCCATCGCTCACCATTTCGGTGTGCCGCGAGTGGCCCTGCAATCAGCCGTCCATGAGCCGGTAGTTGGGGAAGATTGCCAATCCCCACCCAATCCAAATCCCACTAATTCCCTCCGGCGGCTTCATCCGATGGTTTGCCGGAGGTCGGAGGGTCCCTCCGAATAAAAACCCACTGTCCCCCAATCCAACTCGGATCCGGGCGGTGCCATGCCGCCGTTATGATGATGCCGGTATTAATGGGGATGGGGCCGTTGAGGACGGTTGAAGGATGATTGAGAAGATCGATTGATCATGTTTTCTTAATTCAGTTCCGTTGATCTCTCTCTCTCTCTCTCCCTCTATTTCTTCTGTATCGAACTTATTCTCGTCGCAAGATTTCGGTCGACTTCAGTTCCTACAATTTGAAAGACCACATCTGTTTTATTTCTTCCCGGCCGGTTCTTCGTCGTCGCTTAGTCACATGTCCCTCATCCCAGTTTCTTGCAAGCCGTTGTAGGGATCAAAGTGGCCGGGCCGCCAAGCTCATGAGGCCACTCGATCATCACCGGCTCCTTCAGTCGGCCTTTCGACAATCCTTGGGCCCCTAAATGACGGTCTCCATCCGGCTCGATCCGGCCCCCAAACAAGCCGGGTTTGAACAACCCCATGTTGACCGTCGGCTCGGTCATTCAGCTTCCAAGAGCTGAAACAACCCATTTGTTTTTCACTCGGCTCGGGCCCGCTCTCCTTGTATGGCCTCCGGAATTCGGCCCGGCCTTGGATACACATAGCTCTCACTTCACTCACACTGTCACCACTCACGCTCACAAAAACACACTCACATCATCATCATCAGAACCGACCGGATTCTAGCGGCTCCTGCAAGCTCGTCTTTGAGCTGCCTCCGACTCCTCAATCTCTCTCTCACCCAGAATGAGCTGCTCTGAAAAACTATCATGAATCCAGAGATTCATCTGGACTCAATCTGAAAACAAACAAAAAATCGTTTTCCGGTCACCAAAGAGTCAGACAATCCGAGCTGAGATTTGATAAAAAAAAACACAGAGAGAAAGAAGACAAATTAGGAGGGGAGACCAGGAAAGTGACGATCCGCTTTCCAGTCGCCATACTAACGTTATGCAGATAAGCCCAGCTGCCAGCAGAGCGACGCGGGCAAGCAGATACAAACAAACTCAAGCTCGATGTATAAACGCTTTCTCGGAGATTGAGAAGAAGTATGTACTGGGACGGGAGAGAGAAGGATGAGAGAAGCGGAGACTCAGAGTGCTTGATGCGCAGAGACTCTTCTAGTGCTCATCAAGTGCGTCCAGAGAGGCTGCGGAGACCACGAGGGTTGCTCTCGTTCTTCTTTGGCCGGATCCAAGCCCATCGACTCGGAGCAGGTGTACATAAAAGATGTACTCTCTCTCCTTTAGGGAAGTTGTCGGGCCGAGCGCTCTTCTCGAAACGAACGGTTGCTTGCCCAGTTGCGGCCATGCAGTATGAAGTACCTGGCGATGATAAGGCATTCTACAAGTGTGCCATATTTTGTGGATGATTGGATCTTCGAATCCGAGAACCAAGGAGCGGGCGACGGCGCCGATCGGATTCCAACGCTATAGCCTTTGTTTCCTAAACACCGGCGGGACAGAGTGCATCTCTCGGACTCCAAAGCGATCGACGGCCTCGATATAGATATGTAGATAAAGATGTCTTCCGACAAACATGAAAGAAGCTCTCGTCTGGCCAGTCCATCGATCCATGGATGCGCTCGATTAGAGGGAATTCTATGAGAAGGACCCTGATCCTTGCCAGGCCCGGATCTCTCTAGTGTCGTCCCAGCCGACACCAGCACTGTCCCCCTCCTATGTATCCAGACATCCACAGAGAGCTCTCTGTTATCAAGAATATGGCGTGTGGTTCGGAGCGCTGCTCTAGCTATTGATACATCCTGAGAATTGGACGATAGGATTGGAGGACTTCCCGTGGGTTTTACAGGCCTTGTAAAGCTAGATTTACAGGCTGTAAAGCTAATTTTTCGCTGGGAAAACGCTTTCACGAGCTTGTAAAAATAGCTTTACAGGGGGCTGTAAATTCGACGGGAAGTCCTCCATTGACTGGGGTTGATGATTTCATACAATCGTAATCGTCGACCGGCTCCCGTTCGCGTTCCTTCCCGGGCCCCGCTCCTCCTCTGACCCTGGACATATCCGCACATTGAGCTCCCGGACCAATGGCCCCCTATGTTTAAAACTCTCCACCGCCCCCCCCCCTTGCCAGAGACCCTACACTTCATCGCTCCAGCCTCGGCGATGCTGGCGCTGGGCATGTATCCTTCCTTATGATTATCCGCGTCATGTGTCTTCTTGTATGTATGTATGTATCCTCTACTCCGCCCTGGCTTCACCCCTCCTCCTACCTCCACTCCTCTTGTCGTTTTTGTTGTATGCCTGTGCTACGATGGAGTGCTCTCCTCTCTTCGGCTTCGTCGTCCATCCGACCTCATCCGACCGAACATCCCACTAAACACACACACACACAGCGAACACCTCACCGCCTTTCGCGGATAAAGAATACTGAATGGTGTGTATGGTTGTACATAGTCTTTGGTGTAGGCCGACGGCGTTCTTTAGCTTCTTCCTTGTTTGAGAATCAAAAAAAAAACCTCTGCGGATCGCCGTGTAGACAAATGGCTTAGGGCCTTTTCGTTTGTTGGGCCAGCAATTGGTCCGCGGTGTCGGTCTTGTGCATGCCTTCATGGCTGCACAAATCTATCGCTCTCGATAATCTCCAGTCGAGCAGTCGTCAATCGGGTCGACAACAACAACAGCCTCCCCCAACAAAAACAAGTCCATTTTGGAAGGTGCCGGCAATCCAAAACATGTCTGTTGCGCTCTGAGAGGCTCTTACAATATTTACATGTCTCTGATAGACGCTTGTTTAGTCTCCTCCTCGTCTCTCTCAAAAAAAGGGGGGGGTACAATAAAAGTGTGTGTAGTTATTATACACTCGAAATCCAATCTGAGTTTCGGATTGTATAAATAAACAAGTTGAGCGAGCCCTGGGAGATGACTCGATTCTGTTTTTGCCTTCTTTTTTTTTTATAAGGAGAGGGTGTGAGATGGACCCTTTGATACAGAATAGCGCCCAAGGTTGTTATCATTGAGGAAGCCAGCCCATGAAGATTGAAGATGAAAGACCCACTGTATGTAAATACACGAGAGAGAACAAGCTCTCATCTCAGCCAAATCCCAACTGTCGTGCAAAAGATCCTCTGGCAGATTGGATCTTTGGTCGTCTATGTATGTATCTGCTCGTCAACTGCATCCTCGGATCGGCTCTCTCTTCTGTGCTCATGATCCCTGATCAAAAGAAACGAAAGACGAAGGATTGTAGGATGTGAGGGATGGATAGAAATACGTACATATTTGATATTTCCCTCATTGTTGTAGGCTGTATCCGAGAGCACCAAGCCAACGCCCCATTCGAACTCTAGAACCGACTAAATACAATTTGTAGCGAGAAGCATGTGGACTGCCACTTTTTTATAGGGTACAAATACAGTTACAAGTTTGTTGTTGTTGTTGTTTTCAGTGACTTGGTGTGTCTCTTCGTTTATCCCCTTCCAAACCCCCATCGCCTGATTACCTCATCCTCCTTCTCCTCCCATAGTACCACTGACTCCTTATTAGACACTCTGTGAGTCGACTGTCCTCTACACCGCCTTCTTCAGCGACTGGCGAGGATATTCTGAGATACACACATCAATTTATATACACACTGTTATATCACTCTCGAAAAAAACCGATTGTAAATCAATAAAATACAGGCAGAAATCCTGTTTTTTCCTTTTTTTTTTTCCTTACATCATTCGATCTGTCCGCCTGTCCATTCGGACGCTGTCCAAGTCTAGGCTTTTTTCGTCGCTGTAATCTACGCCTGTTGTTGTAGACTTCATCAGCCTGCCCATCCCCCATCCATCGCGACTGCTTCTTAAAGAACCTTCACATCTTCACCATATCCAACTTCATCCCCCTCTCCCTCCCCCAGACCAGATAAAAATATAATACCATCCCATCCCATTCCACCATCAGTTGATCGCTCCTTTTTTCCTCAAGACAAAAAAACACAAACACAAACACCAAACACCAAAGAACAGGAATCAGATTTCCTCTCTTGACCGTAATCATACTCTAAAGTCCTTAACTGGTCTTTCCTATCTCTCCTACAAAACCCAACCACTATACTCTCATCATCATCATGAAGGCTATCATTCTCGTCGGTGGCTTTGGTACTCGTCTGAGGCCGTTGACCTTGACGCTCCCCAAACCTCTGATCGAGTTTTGCAACAAGCCGATGATCGTTCATCAGATCGAAGCACTGGTTGCCGTAAGCGCTCTCTCTCTCTCTCTGCCCCTGACCAATCCAAAATCTGTCATCCCCTTCATCTCTCACACTTCCACTTCCTCTCTCTCTCTCTCTGTTTCTTAGGCCGGTGTGGATGAAATCGTATTGGCGGTCAACTACCGTCCTGAGGTCATGGTCTCTGTCTTGAAAGACACCGAGGAGAAGTATGGGATCCGGATCACCTTCAGCGTCGAGACCGAACCTCTGGACACTGGTTCGTTCTTTCTTTCTTTCTCCCATCACTCATTCACCAACAAAAAAAAAAAAACGCTGATTCATCTACAATAAATCTTTTGTCTATCCTTCAGCCGGACCACTGGCCCTTGCTAAGGACATCTTGGGCAAGGATGACTCGCCATTCTTCGTACTGAACTCGGACGTGACCTGCTCATACCCACTCAAGCAGCTTGCGGCCTTCCACCAGGCCCATGGGAAGGAGGGGACGATCATGGTGACCAAGGTGGATGAGCCGTCCAAGTATGGGGTAGTAGTCCAACTTCCGAACAGCTCGGCCATCGACCGGTTTGTGGAGAAGCCGGTGGAGTTTGTGGGCAACCGAATCAACGCTGGGATCTACATCTTCAGTCCGAAGGTGCTCGAGCGGATCGAGGTGAAGCCGACGTCGATCGAGAAGGAGACCTTCCCGGCGATGGTCCGGGAGTCCCAACTACACTGCATGGATCTCGAAGGCTTCTGGATGGATATCGGCCAGCCCAAGGACTTCATCTCCGGCACCTGTCTCTATCTCAGCCATCTCAGCTCGATCGGTGACCCGAACGTCAAGGACCAACAGACCCACAAATGGGTCGTCGGCGGTAACGTCCTCGTCGACCCTACCGCCGTCATCGACCCCACCGCTATGGTCGGCCCTAACGTCGTCATCGGCCCCCGTTGCGTGATCGGTAAGGGCGTCAGATTGCAACGTTGTGTGGTCATGGGTGGCGCGCGTGTCAAGGATCACTCTTGGGTCAAGAGCTCAATGTAAGCAGCATCCCTCCTATGTTTCAATCGAGGAGACTAGTTGCCAAGATCCCTAATCACTACATCTTGCTCTGCTTTAGTATCGGTTGGAACTCCACCGTTGGCCGATGGGTCCGATGTGACAACACCACCGTCCTAGGCGACGACGTCAATATCAAGGATGAATTGCTTGTCAATGGCGCCGCAGGTAAGCTAACCTTCTCTCTTTCCTTTCTCGTCACATCATCTTGCCTGATTGTTCTAACTTCTTCTTCAACCCTTCCCAGTCCTTCCGCACAAATCTATCTCTGCTTCGATCACCGAACCTGCTATCGTCATGTGAAACCTTGGAACACTTGGCGTTCTTCATTGACTGGTTGACCCATTAGATAAAAACACTCTTCCTAGATTATTTTCCTTTTCTTTCAACAAAAATCAAAAACTTGCCACAAAAAATACCGTGATTTGATGATCAATTTTTTTTTCTCAAGAAAAGAAACAAAGAAACGACAAAAAAACACACACATACACACTTTATGATCTCTTTGTTTTCTTTACATGCCCGACCCTATACACACTGACCTTCAGAAGACAATCTCTTTTTCCACATGGACCGGTCTCTTTTTTTCCCTTTCTTTCCTTCTCTCTCTGTTTTTTTTTTTTGCTTCTCTTGATCCCTCCTCGCATCATTCATCCTCATCATATTGAACACACGATTCTTCCATCCCTCCACACACACACACACACACATCCATGAAAAAGAAAGAAAAAAAAATCAAAGAGATTGGGTTTGGGTTGCTTGCAAACAATGTCGTCCTTGAGGGGGAGGGGGGTGGTCGACGATTGACATCCACAATCGCTTCCAACCCCGCCTCGATGAACAATCCGACTGTGCCTTTTTTTTCTGGCGGTCAAACAACCTCTTTTGGTGGCTGTGTTTGTTGGTTCAGAGCAGGAGCAGGAGCAGTAGGGGGGGGGGCGAACCAGTCGGCTCCTTGGCTTTTTCATACCGACTGTCGATTAGATGCTTGTTTGCTTGTTTTTTGTTATGCTACGATACTTCTCGCTTAATATCTCTGTCGCCCACCACGACTCTCTCTCACTGCATCCAGTCCACCCACCCATTTATTTTCTTTTCTTGTTGTCTGCTTCTTCTTTGTTTCTTGTTGATGATGTTGTGTTTGGTGTGGCGCTAGTAATCCGAGACTCGCTCGTCAGTGGTTGTTTTTTTGAGGGGGATCTGGATCGGTCTTTTTCTTTTTGAGAGAGAGAGAGAGGTGGGTGGGTGAGGAGAGAAGAGAGTAGACACCGAGGGAGGCAGGCGGGAGGATGGGCTGGGCTGGTGATCGCCGGTTTTGAAGGCTTGTGAGAGCTCTCTCAGTCCCTGCCTCACCAACTCAATGAAATACCATTCCAACCAGCTCACTTTGAGAGCTATGGATATTCCTATTAATGCTAGAAGGCTTGAGAGAAAATATTTTTTGTTGTTGGTGTTGGTGTTGAGAAAGAAAAAAAAAATTGAGTTCTGGGAGGGTTGTGGGTTGTGATGGGAAAAGTCTGCACTGTACTCTTGGGTGCAACCTATGTAATCACTAACACCCATGTCAGGGGATGGATGGGGCTGTCAATCACTTTTGGTGGGACTTCTTGTCTAATCCCTTGAATCATCAGATTCGGTGTAATGTATGAGATTTTTTTTTTCATAAACTTGCAATGGTTTTGGTGATCAATGTGAGTAACATTGGCTCCAAGTTCATGAGATGGGAACTCAAGTAGTGTCCTACATCACTACCAAAATGATTGTATCAGATTGCTACATCTGTCATTATCTACATAGAACTAAAAAAATAGCCTCAGAGGGCCAAACAAACCGTCAGCCTTCAATAGGTATCTGTGTTGATTTCTCATGCGGCTTCTAACGCCGGTGTCAATGTTGCACAATTCAATGTCATTTCCGACATTCACTACACCTCGGGCGCAGTTTGACGTGGGCGGACACCGATTTTTTTGGTGGATTCCACAAGTGACCACTGCGGCGGGTCAGACCAGCTCCTGACGGTCCACAGTTTTGCGTGGACTCCACATGTCATTCCACGGGTCCATCCCGAGGTCATCCGGTGGAGCCGACAAGGAAGCTAGCAGCGCCGCGGATAGAGAATCGGCAGCGGCCCCAAAAAGGAGCGCACACGGAGTCAAACTCCGGCAGTGGACCGAGGCTGAGCCTGCAGGAGGATGCTCCACCCTTGGTCCACGCAGTCTTGAAACACTCTCCTCCTTCCGAGATTAATTGGCTCAAAGTGATCATTTGTTTCACTCCCCCCCCCCAAAAAAAAAGCAAAGTTTTTTTTTTTTTTTTCAACACTCGGTTTTCTCGAGTTTTCAGACTGTCAGGACCCACATCAGTGGGTCCTGGTTGTAGGTGGATTGATGGTCGGCCGTTGTGGAATCAATGTGGGCAACAAGCCCACCTGCTCCACATCGGCTCGGGCTTGGCTTCGTGGAATTGACGACAAAAAAAAGCTTGGTTCGTGGAACCGACGACAAAATCAGTCCTTACCAAAGACTTACAGAGCTGATCTCGTTGGTTCCACGGATTGGCCGAGTTTTGTCGGTTCCACGATCCCGCTTGGCAAGAAGTGCCCCTGGGGTGTAGGACTTTAACATCATAGAGACCTTCAAAATCAAAGGCTATTACAATGAACTTCAAAATCAAAGGCTATTACACCATAGGACCTTCAAACAAGTAAAACCCCCAACATCCGGGGCAAAAACAAGCAGCCTCCCCAAATTTGGGGGCATATACTAGTGTCAGATAAAAATATCTGATATTACATCAGAAAAACTGGGATTGTATCTACCAGAATTGATATTATATCTACCTAAAATAATATTGTGTCTATCATGAAAGATATTACATTGGACCACCCTACACAATGTCAAAATAACTGAATTCATATCAGATTTTTCTATCTGATTTAATGCCCATGGGCTAAAAATTTGTATGAGATGTAAAAATCTGATATAAAATCAGTTATGTTGACATTAAATAGGTTGGAATGATTCAATATCTGTCATGATAGATATAACAGGGTTTTAGGTAGATAGGATATCATTCCTGATAGATATAATACCAGTTTTGCCTGATGTATAATCAGATTTTTCATCTGATGTAATGCCAGATGTGGGAATCTGATATAATCACATTTGCAGTGCATATTAGCAGGGAAGTTCTCAAAAGAAGCTGTGGACTTAAAATTTAGTGTGAAAGTCTATAAATTTTTGTTGAGAAAGTTTTCATCTCAACAATACTTGAGCAAGAAAAAAAAATAATCAGTGTCAAGAAGCAAACAAAAAACACTATTGTGAACCCAGCTAATGCTATTGGCAGTCGGATGTTGATCCTTCTCAATCTAGTTTATCAAGGAGGTTAGCCCAAACTGGACATGTAAGAAGTGAAGGGATGATGACTAATGAAGGATGATTGATTCTCTCCAACACAGGTGGATATTTTTTCTATTGGGATCTGTTTCCTAATCTTGAGCTTGCAGGTGTCCCTCTATGGCAGTGTGTGTGCCCCTGCAGATACAGTCATTACTTGTGTTGGTTGAACAATGGTGATGTGATGTTGTGTGGCCCCTGACATTATTAAGACACCAAACAGATCAATCCATCCCATGAGGCATGTTTGCAAGGATCAAGTCTTGAGGATCCATGCAGATAATCGGGCCATATTTGCTCCCAACCTAGTGTCTGTTATAATAGTACACACAGCTTGTCATGGGGAAGGAAATACCAACCTGAAAATCACAGTGATATGTGGCTTGAATTTTACTGAGCTGGCACCCAGTACTAGAGTGATGTGGGGGGGGGATGTTGTTGCAAGTTCATGGTGTTGGTCACACACTATTTCAAGTAGTAGCAACAATCCTGAATGAGGATTTCTAGGTGGTGAGTCCATGGATATAAGCAGATATGCTGACGCCTCCAACTGATGAAACACTTGCCCTGTAGTGTGGGCCAGCGGGCCCACTTTGCACTAGAAACCTGAAAGTGCCTTTTGAAGACCAGTGCAAGCTTGACTATATGTACAAGCCATCTTACTGTACAGAGCCACCTGAAAAACACAATTTCATACACAGGCTTTACATGTGCAAGTGATAGGTAGGATTTGGGCTTTTTGGAGGTTTCAGAATTCAATTCTGAAAGGGCTAAGGGTTTTGGCCTGCCAACCATTTTTTACCCTAGCCCAATTACAACCTACACCCATGTTTATTGCTGTGGAGTGTGCAAACTCCAAACCTGGAGTTTTGAAGAGATATGAGATGGACACGTGAAAGTAATATGAGATCAAGGTTTTTCCCTTCTACCACTCAACAGATTAAGAGTCAAACACACCAACAAAATCAGACTCATTGTATGGTCAACACCCACAAACAAAAACCCACACTACTAGGACCCTTTCTGCCTACAACCAGGGCAAAGCAACCAAAACAAACCAAATCCTATAAGGAACTACGTGTGCTTCCACCATTGCCTCCATCACCACCCCTATAACCTTCAGAAACACCCCAAGAGACTGAATACAAACGCCTTAGAGCCAGCCAAGCTGGCCAAAAGACTGCTTAATTCCCCCTGTTTATCCATATTCCTACAGTAACTTATTCAGTTTGAAATTTCATTACATTCTGAATTCAGAAATGAAGTCTTCATGTAATTTCAACACTAGTCACTACTAACCATTTTTACACTACTCTTCTCCATTTTTGACTTCGTAACATTTCACCACACCTTGTGAAATATCAACCAAGTTGAAAATTCATCTCTCCCAACCACATGTACATGTAATTATTATGTAATCCAACTCTGAAAATCCTTTCAGAGGATATTGAGTTACTGCACCATTTGCCAAAACCAAGTACCTAGTACTGCACCTGGCACTGCTGTGCAGGTGCTAAAGCAGTACTAGGTACCCACTGTGGGTGCCAAATGACTATCTTTCCCAATGAATCAAGAAATAAAAAGATAACCACAAGGGGATGCCAAAATGGCCTTCCCTGTTAATGAACAAACTCAAGGATGTATTTCTTGAAAGCTATATGAAAAAGAAATACATGAGGAAGAAAAAAATAAAGCATCTGAACTTAAGGCAAACAACCACTATCACCTATACTTGATATCCCGCACCGGATACATATGTGGTCAAGTATCAGGGATATCCAGTAGACACCAGTTCTTGTTATGTAAAGTGGTTTCTGACTTGTGCAAATTTTTTGCAACATTTCTGTAATATTTTGGTAAATTTGGTGTAACTTCAATTTTTCTGTAACTTTTCTCTGAAGTGGAAGTCTTCCTGTTATGCTTCAGCAACTTGCAGTAAGATTATAGAAAGTTTAAAGAAGGTGATAGAAAAATTAGAGAAATCAGAAAAAACTTACAGAACAAAAACTGGTGTCTACTGGATATCCCTGGTATTTTACCAGATATGTTTCTTGAGTGGGATATCCAGTATAGGTTGTAGTGAACCACAATATGAGAAAGAAACAGGCTTCTAAGATAGAAGGAGTACAACAGCAGAAATTGATGATGTCATAGTTCATAGAATTGTTACTCATTATGAGGTTAGAGAGATAGCTGGTCAAGCACGATTGAGCTTTTAGACTTCAACATTCCCCCTCTGGCAAAAATCACTGAGAGAATCTCCACCGCGGATGGTAAATGTTGTATTTACCACCTGCATTCCAGAATTGCCACCTGATATCCGGCAGGTGCACCACCGCAAAGTTGTAAACCTACACTGAGGATTGGATGATCGAGGGATATTGGCTTGTGAAAGGGTTGCACAAGCGGGATGGCTGGTTTCACACATGCATGAGAGGTACCTGGGGTGGTACATGAGTGGTAGTTCTACAACCTCAATACATTTTTGGACCCAAGATGTTGATTACCACCCCGTATACAGTTGTGGATGACAAAAACTGACCATGCCCCACCCTCAAATTGAAAATTGATACACAGGGTGTATTCCTGGGGGGCATGTACCCTGATAGTTATTTTTTTATTAGAATTATGAACTCCTACAGATGTGTAGAGTTCAAAATTGTAACCGCTAAGCTTCTACTGCAGCGGTTCTTTTTTTACTTGTGTGACATACATGTATCCAGTGGCAGATATGCACGGCAAAAGGGGTTGTATTGGTTACAACCCGATGCGATAACATCACCCTGAGGCAACCAATATAAGATCAGTCTCCTTGGCCGAATTTATATTGGCCAGGCCCACCAATACATTTTTCTTTTGTTCTAATGTATTGGTAGGCCCAACCAATATAAAATCAGTCAATCAGACTGATCTCATATTGGTCACCTCCAGGCGACGTTATTGGGTTGTAACCAATACAACCCCTTTTGAAGTGATGCATACCAAAAGCCATATTTAAGCCCATAACTATGGGTTTAAGTTAGGCTTATTCATGGCTTATACCTCTCAGAGGTCCTTCAAGCACCTACAGCATCAACATGCAGTGTTTATTCAATACTCCAAGCCAGTTTTTCATCACTCCTTGGCCTCAAAAGGGCTGCAAAACCATGTAAATTCCAAAAAATCTCATTTTTCAGCAAAAATATTCCAACACCCTCCAAATCCAGGGTCAGTTTTTGCCATATGCAACTGTACTACCCGTGGTGGGGTGGTGTTTTGGAAATTGGGGTGGTAAACGGGGCTTACAACAAGCTTAACTAATCCTCTCGTGACAAGAGTTGTTTGCGGGCAGGTCTGGGCGGCAGCCCAGTCTTGTCAGAGAGGCTTACATATTATTACTCAAAGCTCCCATGAGGCAGGCCTGTTTTTGAGGCCTGTTTTTGCATTATCACATCTGGCTTCCATGCTATTTTTAGAGATGGTCGCGGATAATCCGCCGCGGATATCCGCTATCCGCTGGCGGATACCCGCCAGTGCCAGCGGATACCCGCCAGCGGGTGCGGTTTCGGCTGCGGATGGCTGTTTTGCCGCCCAACCTGGCGGATATCCGGGTATCCAAGGGATACCCGGTGCCAAGAGAGGCAACATCGCCGGGAGGAATCCCTCCCGGCGAGCTGGTACACATCCAGCTACGCGCAGGAGTGGTGTACACACCCTCGGGTTTGGAGAAAACCCTAGCGACAAGAGGGTACTCAAGCACCTCAAGCCCGGAGGAATTTCTCCCGGCGAGCTGGATTGTGTACCAGCTCGCTGGGAGGGATTCCTCCCGACGAGCTGGTGTACCCACCTCTCGTCGGGAGAAACCCTCCCGACAAGAGG